TTAAGTTGTAAGAGCTAGTTAATAATAAGCCTAAGCTAATAGGCCAAACAGTTTGTAATTAATATTAAGCCTCAGAGTGGCTCTTTGGGAAGGCAGGAAAGAAATGAGTCCAGCAGGAAAGAGAAAAAACTTCCAGCTGCAGAGAAAAATTATAAAGTCATGGTGGCTCTATATATTGATAGTGGCACAAATACAGAAAGACAGACTGGTAACATGAAAAAATAAATAAATAAACTCATCCAAAGTTCCCAGCACAAACGGGGGGGAACCCACTCAGAAGTGAACTGTAATACTTAAAATGCTTTCAGAATAGAGGAAAATGTCTTTATAACCTTTAGGGAAGGAATGGTCTCATAAACAAGACAAATAAAAAGTCAGGATTGTTATACAGAGAAACCTTGACTTAGAAACCCACCCAAAAAAGTGATTATATTTTTAAAATTATTGTATTAATTGTTAAAAACTTCAGTTTATCAAATTTACTTCTTAAAAATTAAAAATTGAGGCTATGGAGATGGCTTACTATCAGTAGAGTGCTTTCCATAAAAGCATGAGAACCTGTGTTCAACCTCCAATACACACGTAAAACTCTGCACACAGTGGCCCCTCCCTGCAATTTCTATAAAAAGGAGGGTGATTGCTGTGACTCACTGGCCAGTCAGTGTAGACTCACCAGCACACTCCAGGTCCTAGTGAGAGACCCCATTTCAAAAATACAAGGTGAATAATTCATGAGAAATCACACACTACATGCATGCACACGTACCCTCCTACACACACATCAAGTGAAAAACTAGACCCAAAATGAGTAGAATATTTTGCAACATGTTCAGTTGACAAAGCAGTCATCTCTTGAGTATGAAAGATGAACACAATTGGTGGGAGGGTATGTGAAGGGAATGGGAGGAGGGGAGGGAGTGGGAACTTGGATTGGTATGTATAATAAAAAAAGATAGTTTGTCTTCTTTTTTAAAAAAATAAGTAAAAAGAAAAAAATATGAACACGATTGGAAAATGAACAAAAGAGATGAAAAGGCCTCAGCCTGAAAAGCAAATCCACACAGTGTAAAAGATGTTACTGAGTATTACATACTAGTAATCAGGGAAATGTAAATTATACAATACTGACATAAACACTACTTAAAGAATGGTCGGAGACCTATTATAACCTGCAACCATATACAAATTACACTAGCATGTGAACACATTACTGTGTTATATTGGTCAATGCAACTGACAAGACTTTTAACAATGGGCATGTTGGAGATCCCCTATTATGCCAACATGTGGGACACTGACCTTGGGTCAAATTGTGTTTTTTTTTCCCCACAAAACTTAATCAAGAAAGCACTGTTTGATTTTACTGTGAGCATACAGTTTATAAATTAGATAATCTAAGTATCATTGTTTTACATAACAGACTAAGAAACCTCTAGAAAATGAAGTCACTTACCATATCAAATGCAGGGAGAGTTTATGTACTGCAGGTATGAGTGTGAACAAGAGCACCATTCTGGGAAGCAATATGAAACTACCCATGGGGCCTAGCAAGCACATCACAACATTGCAGCAGCCCTGTTCCAGACAAGTACCGTGTACATGTGCTTTAAGAGACATGTACAAGAACAACCAGAAGACTCTAAGTTCAGAACTACAGAGATGAACTCAAACATTTATCTACCAGAGACTGGATAAAAACACTGTCCTGTACCAGAAAGCTAAGACTATAAAATACATTTGAGATTCACGAACACACTGAGCCCAAAGAGCCGTGACAGAAACACTACCTAGAATCTGCTACAGTAAGAATCAGAAATTTAAAATTTCAACAGTAATCAAACTGCTACAGACTGAACAAAACCAAATCACAACAGCATCACTATTTATCCACCCTACTAGACCTCTCTCTTTATTTCCAACCCCCCAGTGGACAATGTGTCATCGATCTTAGCACTCATTCACTCCACACAGAAAACTTAACTTGACCCCAGACAAAATAGTCCTCAGAGTTTCCTCAACCACTCATCAACATGCCTGACGCTACATCCATTCTTTAAAACCTCCTCCCTCTCAGCCTTTCACAGGGAGATAGAAACTATTCCACCTCTTTTAGTAGATACTGAAAGGTTAGAGATCCGTCCTCAACTGTTTCCTCACCCTTCTCTCTAAACTTCACCTTCTCTCGGAGCCTCTCAGCAGTCTTTGCTGCCTCCCATATAAACACAGGCCACCACCATCTACTGCCTTGTACTCCTCACCCCTGACTGAAAGGACCGTCAGTGTATTTTACCTCCCATTCCACCCTCGAAGTGACCTGCTCCAAGAGAGAAACCCAGTGTCGCGCTGTGGGTCGCTTTAAAGTAGTGATGACCGTGTAGGCTGTGGAGCCCAGAACGAGCACGGAGGCATTTCGAATACCTAGCGCTGCCCCGTGCCTGCCAGACTCTGGCGTGTACTCTGCTGCAACAAGAGACGAGGCTATAGATCTATTTTCCTTTCAGAACACTGGCTGGCTTACCTCTACTGAGGCAACGTATGGCTGCCGCCATGTTGACTATTCCGGATTGTGTTGACGAAATTGGTCTCGAGGTTCAACTGCACCGACAAGCGAAAAAGGTTCCGCTGGGAAGCTGGCAAAGGGGGAAGGTGTTGGTGGGAGCAAAGGAACAGGGCGGAGAGCCCTCGTGGAAGTGTTCCTGTTAGTTCCCCAGGCGGGTACTCCGTTTTGTGGTTAAGGCACAAAAGCTTTACAGCCTTCAGGAAAAAATGACTTTGTTGAAAATGCTGTAATTATTCATTCCTCCTTATTTTTTCTTTATATCCTGCAGATGTATTCAGAGCCATCATTTAAACAGGGGGAACCTAGTTTCCAACCTAAAGTCCTGAAAAACCTGGAGTATCCCCAGCTTCCTCTGCTATACTTCAGCTTTACTAAGATCTTTTTTTCTTTAAATGCACGTTGCTAGGCGATAGTGCGCCGAGCTAACTTGTGCTAGGTTCTGAGTTCGATCCCTTTGATAGCAAAGGGAAAACAATCTGCCAAACTTTCAACCTCCCAAGGCAGATCAGGAGGTTCCACTTAATAACCCCCTTTCAACAAAAGGCCAGACCAACGTTAATCTTTCAGCAATCTGTTTTACAGTTCCTGGCTGCGGGCAAGCTGTGCCGTAAGACCAAGCGAGCAGTACAGTGCTTGGCGTTTAGGAAACAAGTCTCGGGGTTTTGCTTTTTTGTTTGTTTGTTTGCATCTAGTATACAAACGATCAGAGATAATCAGAGACCCGTGCACAAGTTATTTTCACGCCTTACCCCACCCCACCCCCCAAGAGACTGATCCATTACGTCACAGCTGCCCAGGTGGTTTCTCTAAAACAAGTTTAATCACAAAGTAAATCAATTACTCCTTAAAATAAACCCTTCCAGTGATTGGCCTTTTCCAAATGCTCACGACCTCTGCCTACCTCCTCAATCAACATCCCTCCTAAGGCGCATGTGCATGTACACACACACACACACACACACACACACACACACACACACACACACGAGAGAGAGAGAGAGAGAGAGAGAGAGAGAGAGAGAGAGAGAGAAAGAGAGAGAGAGAGAGAGGAAGAAGGAAAGGAGAGGAGGGAGAGCGAGAAACCACACACTTCTCACCTCTGTGACTTTGTTCCTCTGTGACTTCTGCTTGAATTATCATGTACCACATTATCAGTAAAAATTTTTTTCCTTAAGATTTCAGTTCAGACTTCACCCATTGTTGGCAGTCTCTTTCCACACTTCCAGGACTGTGTTATGGCCATTTCTTCCTGGTTTTGAATAATAAACAGGAGTTATATTTGTTTATGTGAAACAATTCTGAGACCTATTTTATATATAATACAACTTACCAACCTAAATAGTACAATTCAATGGGTTTTAGAAGATTCAGGGTTATGCAGTCATCACAATGTATCTGACTTTCCCACTAGTTTGAGCCCTTTGTGGACAGCAATCCTGTCATTCATTTCCGACACTCAGTACATACCACAACACAGCTTCAGGCAGGAATGGAGGTCTACAGTAAGTGTTTGTTGAATCAATGAATACATGAATTAGTGACTTGGTAGGAATGTCAAGCCTGCAAAATGTAGCTTGGTTTCATGAAGCTACCTACAGAAGATAGACTAGATCAAACCTGGAATTCCCAAAAGTTTTATTTTATATTTATATGTAGTGGCTATCTAAATGAAGAATGAGATTCTTACTTATTGCTCATTCTTGTTAACACCTAAGCAGCTACATCAAAAGCTCGACAATCAGTTGTGACTGTAAAAAAATAAAATAAAGAAAAAAGAAAGAGAAAAACACGAGAAAAACTTAAATCTACTTTTATTAACTTTCTTCCCGCTTGCCATTTTTCCTCCTATGTTCTTTTTTTTTTTCACACATAGATCAGGGAGGGGTAAAACTTACAGTCATCTCATGATACTTAAAAAGATACGGAATCTAAAGATACATGTATAAGTTCACCTACTGAGGGTTCTTCAATTCATTTCTTCTCATTTCCACAGCTGGAATCAGTTGCCCCTCACCTGAAAATGCCTACCATGAGACCATAACCATCCAGTCAAAACTCACAATAATATTAATACGTTTACAGTAACATTATTATTATTAAAACAATATCCTTTATAAGTTCAATGTGCCTGATTGCCTTCTTTGATGACATTAATTAAGTAGAATCCAGAGTTTATATATTTGCAAATAGATGATAGATGATACATAGTTAGATAGATAGCTGATAGATAGATAGATAGATAGATGATAGATAGACAGACAGACAGATAGATAGACAGATAGATGATTCATAGATAGATAGATGATGTCCACTAGCTTAAGACTTTCTAAAAACTATAAAATAACTTAATCAAAAGCCATACTCTGAAATGGGCACACCATTATAATGATAATGACTCCATCATCACTGAATTTAGAATTACCCAGGAGATTGAGACATACCTCAGTGTCTTTCTATGAAGATCTTTCTAGAGAGAATTAATTGACGGGAAAAACACATCCTGTGGGCTGTGAGCTCTGGTGGAACAAGGGGGAAATGAGAGAAAGGCAGTGGAGTGCTGGCTTCTTTCTGCTTCCTTTTGGTCATGACATGAGCTGCTCTGCTGTCCTCCCCAGCGATAATGGATTGAATCCTGAAAAATTATGAGCCAAGCTAAATCCTTCGTGTTCTAAGACATTTCTGCTAGGTATTCTGGTACAGTGAGGAAAATCTAGCACACACCAAAACTCTGAACATTTGAAATATATGAGCCTCTCCTTACTGAAGAGAGGTGTTTTGGTTAAGGGAATACTCTGGAGGCAAACTTCCTGCCTTTGAATTCCAGGATCACCATCAGCATGTGCAGGATATAGAGCAAACAACTATAACCCCTCAGGCCCCCACTTCCTTATTTTGACATAGGACTAACAATGAAATAATTTTCAGAGGACCTCACTATAGTATCTGTCCCAAAGTCAACCCTCAATGAACACTGAACGTCACTGTTAAAGAACCAGATAAAGTTCTTAACCAGAAAGGCAAAACAAAGCATCTGCTCATCAGCACCAAGCACAGCACGCCTGTCCCCACACGCACTAGGACAATACTTTTATTAGTATTTGCAAAGTCACTTGTCTATGTAGCTCATCTTAAAATGTAAGCTTTGCCAGTTGGCTTCTAGGAAGGTTTAGCCACACCAGGAGTCTTGGCAAAATACCAACAGCCTCCCTGCTTGGCTAGCTTCCCTGCGGGAGGAAAATATTTAAATATATGCTTAGGCCTGTAGTTGTTTTGATCTGGGTTCTCAGACTTCTTCAAGCATTTCCCACTTGATCTGGAAATTTGTACTTCAAGAAAAGTCACTTCCTGTTTGAGGTTAGAGTTGAAAAAGAGAAGCTTTCATCATACAGAAATAAGGAAATCTAAGATGCTTCTATGTCACTAATGAGTAAGAATTACTAGGAAGGCCTTCTCAAACTCAAATCGGTGGTTTTCCATGCCTATGATCCATTCGGTCTGGAGTAGGAACCTGGAAATTTACATTTACAATAGGCGCTGGGGTGACACTGCTATAGTGACCTTGGGATCGCCCATAGAAAAACTCCCTGAACAACTGGAAGCATTTGCACACATACTTAACATTAACTTGGGATAGAGAGGATAATTGTTCTGTATATAATTTATAAAAATATAAATTCTTCCCAGTTACAATTGCATCAGAGACCAGAATCTACCCACTTTTATCATCTCTAACTACACACAATCTGTTTTGGCAACCAAAAAAAAAAAAATCTGTTATCAATAGGCACAGTTTCTAATGTTTGCCTGCCTATCTTGACTTTATTACCAGTACTTATGTTCCCTTCCCATCTGTGATCATTTCAGAATCAGGTTACAGTTAAACTTTTACTACCCAGAATGGTGGCATCTCAGTGTGAAGATTGAAAGTTCCGTGAATGACAGATTAAAATTCATATTATCTTGTTCCTCCTATGCACGGGCTTCTCCGTCCCCTTAGGAGACTAGTTTAATTACAGATTGAATTGGGAGATTCAGAACTGAGCAGCGCAGTACGCTAAGAAAACCTTAATGATTGGTTCTACAGTACAAAAGAAATGAATGTGTAGCACTTGCACATTTGCATGCTGTAAATTCTCTCACGACAATTCGTTTCAAGCTGTTAATCTTAAAGTCAACCAGCTCACCAAACCCTTAATAATTTAAAACTTGGTTCCTATACGACTGTAATACACTACTGGAAGTTTCCTATAAAACGCTTCTAAAGACATCTAAACCAAACCAATTCTTTTTTGACCCACACTTCTCAAAATTTATTAATACAATTCACTGGGAAATCTAATTAAAATGGAAGTTACCGTTTGATAAATCTTGAACAGGACTGGAGACACTGATTTCTGGGACCAACAATGTGACTGGTCCATGGATTGTACTTTAAATTCAAAAGGTCCCAGAACACACCAAACAACAAAATCTCAATTTCTTGGGGGGTTTATTTGCTTCTCTGTTCTTATTTTTTCTGAGAAAGGTTTCAGACCCTGAACACTGTAGTTCAGGCTGACCTAAAACTCACTACATAGCCCAGGCTGATCTTCATGTTGAAGAAATGCTCCTGCCTCAGCCTCCCAAGTGCTGGGACAAAATCTACATAATCATCATCATTAGTTCTAAACCATATTGTTTTGCATAGACGCTCTCTCTCCAATAAGAAACAAGAGTAAGTGGATGCCTGCATTTCTGAGTCTGGACACCATAGTTTTCATGTTCAGTGGAGATAGTAGACATACCAGCAACTTCCGGTCCCACCCACACCTGAACGTCCCCTCTCACTTAGATATAACTTTCCAGGGCCAGTTATTTGAAACTTGGGTTAGTGGGTTAGTGCCACCAAAACTCATATTTCAATGTCACAACATTGGGAGGGAAGACATAGTGAAGGTGTTTGGACATTCAAGAGGGAGAGCCCTGGTGAGTGGGTTAAAATTTTCCTTCTGGGGTGGGTTAAACCCATCAAGGGTTTAGCCTTTTTCTCTCCCACATATGCCTCCTCTTCCCCTTTCCTTTCCATAAGGGTCCCACTTGATTTGCTGCCATGAGGCCTACACCAGAAACCAAGCAGATGTCGTGTTCATGTTCTTGAACTTCCTAGTCTTCTCCAGAACCAAGTCAGATAAAGCCTACACTCTATAAGTCACACAGCCACGGGTATTCTTTTCTGGGAACAGAAAACAAACCATTTGACAAAAGGAATGTCTGCCTGTGCTTGATCTTAATTTGACTTGAAGAAAACAAGCAACAAGGACAAAACTCCTGAGCCAATCACTCTTCTAATAAAACTGGGATTGGAAAAATGAAGGACTGAACTTTGTAGGTAGAAGGATTTAAGCTGGCGAAGTCACAAAGTGGACTAAGAGCAAGGGAAGTCTTGAAAGACAGAGTGAAGCTGTCGGGGATCAGAAATGGTGAGGGAGGCGATGCCTGAATCACTCAGTTGCGAGAATAGAAATGTTGTGGGGATGGTGAGAAAAACCAGTGATAATGGGAGGAGGGAAGAGAGCCGGGCCTTGGAGAGGCCTCAGTTCTATTACAGCACCTATCAGCCATGCCACCGCTGCCTCACTTCTATTGTGGTGTATCAGTGTTCTTGTGAGATCCTTTGTCCTATGAGCTTCTACGATAATTCTCTATCCCCTCAAAATAGTACATGTGAATTTCTGTATTCTTTGAAAAATAAAAATGTAGAAAACCTGTAGGATCCCACTGGGTGTGGAGGCACAGCCTGTAACACTAGCACTTGGGTGGTCAAGGCAAGAAGGCGGTCCTTCTTGGCTATGAAGGGAATCTTAGGCCAGCCTGAGCTGCAGAGTAAAACCCTTCCTAAGAATAAAGGGGAAAAAAGTAAGGGTAAAAAGCACATTCCCAGAAAAAGCCTGTAGGAATCTCGTTCTAGTCCTGATGTGTGGATTGACAGCTCTACTCCAGAATTAGTAACAAATCCTTACCAAATCTCAGAATTTAAAAAGTGTTTGGACATATTCCAGCTACCTCATTCACTGTAATTCTCAGATTAATGCTGGTGAGAAAGTCCTAACTATTCTGTGAGGTATTTTGCTACATTTGTAGTGGATTCTATTTGTTAGAGTTTTTTGTCTATATTCAATCCAAACGCTCTCTGTAACTTATACCTGTTGGAATCTTTTTGGTCAGTTCCATTTTCCCATGGAGAACTTTCTGGAATGTGAGGCCATCTATGCACTCCCCGCTTAAGTGCTCCCTTCACTTTGCTGAATATGTTCTGTCTTAGTTAGGGTTTCCATTGCTGTAAAGAGACACCATGTCCGTGGCAATTCTTATAAAGGAAAACACTGAATTGGGGTGGCTCACTTACAGTTTCAGAGGTGTAGTCCATCATCACCATGGCAGAAAGCATGGTGGCATGCAGGCAGACATGGTGCTGGAGAAGTAGCTGAGAGTTCTACATCTTGATTCTCAGGCAGCAGAAGCAATCTGTGACACTGGGCATAGCTTGAGCATATAAGACCTCAAAGCTTGCCTCACAGTGACACACTTCCTCCAACAAGGCCACATCTCCTAATAGTGCCCCTTCCTATGAGGGCCATTTTTTTTTTTTCAAACCATGGCATGCTCCTAACCCTGATTATCCAGCCAGTTTCTCCTTCCTGTTGAGTGGCAACAAGAAACTCAGTTTCCTACAACCTTCTTTACCAAGGACTCTAGTTTACCTATGGTTCCTTAAAATGTAGTCACAAACTGAACAAAACACCCTACGGCAGTAACAATGATCAGGAAACATTGCTGCAATCTAAAATTGGATTAATTTATTCTGCAGTTCTAATGGCTTCACTTACTACTTTGCAATTATCTTGTTTTTCTTCAGCCTTTCATCATTTATGATAAAAACATATCACAGCTGGGAGGTGGTGTCGGCTCACACCTTTGATCCCAGCACTTGGGAGGCAAAGGCAAGAGTATTTCTGGAGTTCGAGGCCAGTCTGGTCTACAGAGCTCCAGGACAGCTAGGTTTGTAACACAGAGAAACCCAGTCTCAAAACACCAAAACCAACCAAACAAACAAAACTACAAAACCAAAAAGATACCACAGATATCTTGAATTTTAGATTAAATCAAACGTAAACTTTCTGATGAACTTTTTATTTATTCTTTCTATATTCTAAACTAGCATTACCAACACATATTTGATCCCAGAACTCGAATCATGGAAGGAGAAAACTGACTTCTAAAAGTTGTTGTCTGACCTCCCTTGTGCACCATGGCAACATGTATCATGGCATGCCCACACCATAGCATGCACCATGGAATGCAAGCAGGCATGCGTACACACCCATGTAAGTACATGTAAAAGCAGAAAGCTGATATACATAGAAAATGTCCATAAATTCAACATGTATTCAACCAAAAATTGAGATATTTTTCATTCTGTTTAGATTAAGTAATTGAAATTCAGCATGTGATTTTCCCTTGAAGCACAAGACTGCATTTCAAACGCTCATCTGTGCCTACTTTATGGACCAGCACAATTTTCAAATACTAATAACCACTGTGATAGCTGGACCTTATTGAATACTTACTGCATGGAAGCCGCATTTCCAAAGG